GGTTGCAGTGGTGATAGGGAGGGGATGGATGTGGATCTGCAAGCACTGCAGAACTGGGTCCCACTGCCTCTTTCCTGCCTCCCACTCCTTGAGAAATTAGAGTGTGAAAGCCTCAGGCAAGGTGAGCTCAGCACGAGCATCAGCACCAGCAGCCAGAACCGCCCAGCTCGAGGGTGCTCACCCCTCCACAGCTGGCTCCCCAGAAGGCGTGCTGGGCAAGGCTGGTCTGGCGAACGAGCATGGTTAAGCCAAGTACGCCCTTCAAATGTTGTTTTGGTGGGGTTTTTCTGTGCCTGCTAGATACAAGCTGTCCCGTAGCCTGCCATCTGGTTCAGTGCTGTTCCCCGTGGAGCTCCATGTGCTCTGGGAGTAGCTCAAGCTCCTGAGAGAGGCTCTCAGCTGCTGTAGATGCTGTACATCCAGTGCATGTTGTGAAGGGTTCCTGCACCAGCAGCTTCTTACCAGCAAATGTAAAAAGGGAGGAAAAAGTGGTTGTGCTAAAGAGAAAGGGAAAGAATGCACTGAGCAGCCACAGAAGTGGAGGCTGCGCTACTCGGGACAGTTGTCCCTTTCCAGAGCCCCCGTTTCTGCAGTTGCTGCAGCACTTTGCAGACCCTCACCTGACCTTGCTGGAGCTCTGACCCCCCAGCTGGGACAGCCTGTGTCGGGGAAAGCCGCAGTGAGTGTGCTGAGCTGTGCTTGGCCCTTAGTGAGCGACTTGAGGCGTCAGGTGAGAAGGCAGAGGAGTGCTTAACCTGGAGCCCCATCCTTCTGCTGAGGTCCTGCTGGGTTGACCTAGTGCTTTGTAAGTATTTCTTATGCTTTAGGGTTTTAGCTGACACCCCCCAGCTGATAGCCACTGGAGCATGGTACTAGGAAATATTACTACAGCATACTTTGAATTCACATAGACTTTGTAGAAAAACAATTGAAGACTTCCCTTTTTTAGAATGAGAAGCACTGCTGTTCTGAGTACAACGGTGTGGCATCTTGTTTGGAATTTCCCTTGCATTCTATATATACACATGCAGCAAAGCCACAGGAAATGGAAGTTTAAAAAAAATACCATAGAACATAGGTATCTGCTTCTTGAACAAATTTTATTCTTGTCGTCAGTTTTATTATTAGTGAGCACTTAATCTCGAGGCATGATTAAAGGCTTGTTTTAAAGATGCGATGTCCGAAATCATTGGAGGGGGAAGCAGGCGTTGCCTTAAAAGTTGCGGAAGATCTGAGAAGCTGCTTAGGCTCTGTAGTGCCCGTCCTGCAGAAGACAGCGTTCTTTCTGAGCTTTTCTCACTTGGGGCTTTTGGGGTAGGGACCAATTTCTGAGGCTTCTCCCAGTTGTATTCTCTGAGGTTGGGTGAGTCAGTCTTGCCTACAGATGCTGTCGTGATTGTGTGCTAAGGGCCGGCTCTGCATGGCAACCAGCACAGTTGTTAGTAAACAGCACTTACTTCAAAATCCCAAGCAAGATACGTTACAACTGGGTGCAGGAGTAGTGAGAACCAGCTTGCTGGCACTGGGAGGATACACGGTCTGAAATCCTCGTTGTTGGTGAGACAGCAGCTCGGGAGCTCTGAGCTTGTCCTGGGTCTGGACTCAGGCTGGTTTGGAGAGAAAACTGAGGGAAGGCAACTTAATGAGGGAGAAATACTCGGAGAAGGGATGGACTGATAAAAGTAATTGGACAAATATCTCTTGGTAGCTCTTACTATGCTAAGACACATTCCTCCAAGTCCCAGAAGAGACAGTTTTCCTGCCTCTTCCCAGCCTCCCTGGCCCTGTCTGTCTTCTAGTACTGGCATGGCTCACCAGCAGTGAGGGATTTACAGAAGCCTACGCAGGTTCGGTTATCTCAGATGCCTTTTGTTACCGATGCAGCAAATAAGGAGCCGAGTCCCATAGGGCTTTGCACTTTTGTGCGTAGAAAGACACTGGTTTTCTGTATGGTTTCAAGAGTCTCTTGTGCGAGGACTTCTTTCTGCAGTTCTACAGATGATGGATGTTTCGGTGAACAAGTGTGGCACGAATGGATAATGAAACTTCGTAAAGTTTATGCTCTCGAAGTTCCTTTCATTTTATGCAGTTACTTTCTTACTCATATGCCTCTATCGCTTTCTTTTGGGAAGGGACACGGGTTGCTTTCACCATTTACCCAAACACGACGCGCTTTAATTGCACAGCCATCCAAGTGGCAGAGAAAACCAGTGGGAGGCCAGAGGAGCTTCCCTTCATTTGAAGGGTTCTAAAAATGCTGGGAGCTCATGGCTGCTTTGACTTGAGTGTTGGGACAGTGGAGCTGGCAGTTGTAATGCATTCTGGCCTACAAATTTAGGAACCTGAATTGGGAATGCAGATGGTGGTAATTGCTTGGGATGCCTTGATCTGTGTGCTTTGCCCGGCAAGGAGCAGGCAAGTAAAGATTTCACACTGTTTCTTCGAGAAATCTAGCGGTGACTTCAGTCTAAAAGTCAAAGTGGTGGGTAATAAACAAGTTTTTGTAGAAGGAGTAGCTTATGCCCTATAAACTGAAACAAATGTTTGCATGGAAGACACTGGTAGTTCTTTATAGTGTATGTAACTGGTTTCTTGGTTAAGACAAACAAGAAATAAATAGGTAAGGCTTTTTAGCAGACAGGGAAAAAAACCCTCAGTAGGAAATGGCAAATGAAATTGCTCTGAAGTGAGGTATTTTTCTACTGAGAAACAGCAGATCTGTCCTGGATTTTTGCCACAGGTGTTCAAATTCTGTTCATTTATTGCCTAGCTTTAGGTGTTAGCTGTGATCTGTGCTTGACCTGTAACGTCACCTGTTTGTGTCTGTAGGGCCAGGGTGGTCCTCCATGGACACACCAGAAGTTTCCCAGCATTGAAGTGCCATCCTTTCCCAGGGCTCGGGCTCTAATCTCTGCTCTGACAAGGGGACAGGTCTTAAAACCACAAGAATATGTACTGTTCATTCTGTGTACTGCAGGCTGCAGCTTCTCCTAGCTAATTCTCACGTTTCTAATAGCTGTAGGTCGGTCTGTCCAACTGTACTCACAGGGATTAACGTGAGTGGAAACCTATAGCAGGCTTGAGCTGCTGCCTGATGTATATTAGAGCAGCGATCATCGCGAATGCGATAAATACAGGGTGCTGCCAAGGTCTAAGAGACTTGATTTTTGTGTTTGTCTTTAACTGTCTTGTAATGTGAATCACTGGAGAGAAAAAGAAAGTGCTGATACAGCAGAACATGGGCCATCACTGGCAATGGGGTATCGGTGTACACTGGAGCTGTAAACAAAGCTTGTCTAATGAGAACAGTCAGAAGAAGTAAGATTAGCTTATGCCACAGGAAGTTTAATCATATGTTTCTCAGCCTATATTCTGTGGGCTGCGTCTGATCTCTGAGACCTTAAAAGGCAATGTATAAAATGGTCACTAAAAAAGAAAAAAAGAAACAAAAAATCTCTGCAGGTTTGTGCATGTTGTGTTGGGAAAAACAGACTGGTAATCAGCCATGGGACTGCAGTAGGCTAAAGAGAGGAGGTGAAGAACCATTGCACCTCCACACAGTGGCCCGTGCATCCTTTTTGGTAATATCCCACCTATGGCAACATTGGCATAAACCATTATCTCTAACAGGATCCTGAGAAGGAAATACCAAGGAAAATACCCACAATCCTCCTAAAGTGTAGAACTGGGAGGGAAGCAAAGCAGAAGATGGGAGTGTTGCTATACAGAGTTCATGGTTGCACAAGGCCGTTTCTGTGTGTCCCACCCTTAACTCCAGTTCGATGTGGTGAGGAACACCTGGATCCAAGGCTGGAAAAACCCTGTGGCCCTGTTACATGTGTACGCTCTGACTGCTGACACTTCTGCTCCCAACAGCCCCCTGCCATTGGCTGAGGTTACCCCAGGGCAGATCGGCGCTGGCGGCGGCACAGATGCGTGGCAGGGAGGGGTGTTAGCCGTGTTCTCGTGCGTCTGAAAGGTCACTTGTCCTCTCGTAAAGGAGGAGTGATATTGCCACATGTTTGAAAATAGTCTGAGACGCCAGTTATCACTGAAGTAATGAAATAACTCGTATCTGAAACCGTGACATTTACTTGGCCCTTAGTATAGTTACTGGGACTGTTTCACATTTAAATACTCTCACTGAACGAGAGATTTTTTACCACTTTGCTAATGTAGTAAAGCCACTGCATGATCACTTTTATTATAAAAATAATCCTTAGGTAAAATAGGAATACATTCAATAATTACACAAATACATATTTACAAATGCATAAAATAGTTACTTATGGCACAGAAAAAAATAAATATCCCTGTACATTGTTTCTGTGCAAAAAGACAGGCAAGGTTTAGACAACAACCAGCCCTTCTATGTTTTCTTCGCTTTTCCTGATTTCAGCTGAACACAAGGATTTTCAGATGAGACATCTGTTAAGGCTGAATTTTCAGACAAGAAAATACTTTCGCTTTTAATCCAGAAAAAGCACAGAAGATCTTTCCTATCTTCTGCCAAAATGCTCCTCCCCCGCTCTTCAGCCTACATTTTTGTAAGGGGAGGAAAATTTCATGTTCAGTAACTTCCTTCACGAGGCTTCAGGCTGCTGTAAAGCATTAGGCTCGAACACGAGTCAGGCTGCACTCTGAAGCTAACTACCACTGCAAGTTTCAGTTCAGTCTGTAGTAGAATTTGCATTGTGCTTGTCTCCCTTGTAGTTGTAAAAAAATAGTTATTCATAAAAAAACTCTGCTTTATCTTGAAGTCTTTCATACAGTCCAAGAGAAGGTGAAATCAAGTAAGAGGTAGATCTTGTTCATCCTCCTAATTCCTAGGAGCCATCCATCTGAGTGACTGTGGTGCAGGACTGTAGGAGATAGGTACAGAGCAAAGTTTTACTGTCTGTGAAGTAGTGATTGACTTACACGCCTCGCATCGCGTGGTCACTGACAACACTCAGCAACGTGCTTGAGGAATTCATCACTGAGTTCATCGCTGAAAAACCTCATGCAGTGAGGGCATCGAAGTTCACCCTGTGCCCTGCCCTCAGATCCTGAGTTTCCACTGTCCGCAGGAGGAGAAGCTTGTTCAGACTGTGAAGATGTTCTTCGTGTGCCTGTTTGGCCTGGGCTGTTGCCTCGTAGATGTTCAACGTTCGTCTGTACATGCATATGATTTTGGTTACCGATGTGAACTCTGAAATGATTACCCGTGTCTCTTGATTCCTAGAAAGAGAAAGAGGAGCTCTTGGAATAGATGCAGTAAAAAGATATTCTTTACCAGAGTATCTTATCCCCTTCATCTGAAGCACTGCTCATGTTCTTATGACAAGTTTTTAAATAAAATATGCATCAGTTTTTGCAGTTTTATTAACGTAGTTGTAAAGAAGGCTTGTAGGAAACACAGGATACAGTCAGTATGCTACTTGAAAGATGCCAGTGTTACAAGAGTCATGCCTGTCCCTCTCTTCCCTCTAAGAATTCACCCTTACTATGGTGATGCAATACAGAAGGAAAAAGGACTGGAAAAAGGGTATTACATGTGTATTAGGAAGCATCCCCACTACAGCTGACTATGAAAGAATGTAAGGTTTTTGATAGCTGCACTGAGCTGAAATGGTTTCAGAGGTACTAAATTTTTTTAAAAGTATGTTTAAAAGTGTATTTTAGTCCCGAATCTTGTTGACATACTTTAATAGAAAAAGCAGCATGTTGCTTTATTACCTGTCTTCTTGCTAGCTGGTGTTGCAGACATGCAACTTCTGCCTGAAGCTCTTGTATTTTACTCTGTGCTCGTTCTCTATCTGATCTCTCAGATGTGAAATCATCCTTATAAACCAGGACCTGAAAAAGAATTATGATGTTAATATTTTATAAACTAGAGCATTGGCAGGTTAGATTAAAAAGCTGAGGCTGCGATTCCTTTATTTGCAAATACTTATTCCCAGAATCTCAGTATTATCTTCTCTGTTTTATCTGTGCTTTGAAGGCACAGTTTTATTTTTCAGATCTTTCGTATGTTGTGTTAAAGCCAGCAGAACCACACACAGTTCTTGAAGCAGTCAGTTTCCTTTAAGTCTGTGTTGTTAAGTATCTGTACCGCCAAATGAGGCGAGACAAGTGACAAATCTCAAAAGAAATTTCATTTCCCCCCCTTGGACTTCAGTGGTCTGGGGAGAAACTAATAATTCCCACCCCTAGGAAAAAGAAACTTAATGACCTGTTGCTCCAGCATTTGTATGCGCTCGTTATCGCCTTCGCAAGCCTTCTTCACATCTTCTAATTCTCTCTTTGTTTTTATGCATTCATGCATTTTCTCTTCCAGTAGCTTGTTTAACCGGAGTATCTCCTTGTGCATCAGGTCAGAATTCGTGTTTGCTGTAGTTATGCCGTGCTGCTGCTCCAGTTGTGACTTCATCTCTTTTAGCTGCAGGTGGAGTCGCTTCACATACTCGTCCCTACTCGCGTCGTATTTCTGCCATTTTGCATTTAAGTCTTCCACCTGAAAGATCACGCAGGAGAGTCATGAAGAACACGAAGACACAAACATGAGGGCACACACTTCCAAGCTTTCACGGACTGCCTGTATGCGCAGGACCAGAATTCTCTGACAGGTGACGTAACATGCTGACTCAGCCGCTGAGTGTGGATAAGCCACTTTACAGAGGAGCAGAGCTTATCATGCTATAAGCCAGGTTCTTCACGGGCAGTCTTCCCCACTTGCCCATCCACTGGGACAATATTAAATAATACGGAATGGGAGTCACCCTCAGCCTAGTGCTGTTCTCCTGGGGTGGAATGCTAACGCATGGAAGGAACACGAAAATTTCCTCCTGCAGTGTATTTTTAACAAAGCCCACTATGTGAAAAACAATGTAGTAAGTTGTTCATAGCTAAGTGAACAATGACTGTGTGCCATGTTGAAAGGACCAAGAAGAATTCTGGACTCGCATTAAACTGCTATTTAATTAAATTAACCAGGCCTTACCTATTCACAAATTTACTGTAATTCAAAATAATCAAATCTTAAACTGGTACAGAACGAAAGTACTCACGTGAGCTACTTTTTGTTTTAACATCCTGTTTTCATCTTGTAGGTTGCAGATAAGAGCTTGAGGTGAAGTTTCATTGTCTAAAAGCTGTAATTTTCAGATAAAGGAAGTGTTACTTTAATATAAAAATCCCAAATGCTACTTAACTATGCTGTTGAACTGGAAGTAATCTTTTATTTAAGTCCTCTAAAACTGTTTACTATCAGTGAAACAAATACATAACATCTACATCTAGGTCTTCTTATTTCTACGTAGTATATTTCTAAATACTGATAATATAGTCCACAACTTTTATATTAATAAGCATAGAAATAATGTACTTGGGTTTTTACCGCCTTGGTATTGCTTTTTAATAGACCTGTGTGGTGTCATAAAAACCTATGTTTTACCAAATTCTGAACCAACTAAGGTCACAAAATACCACACGTTTTACATGCACGAGGGGCTACACTGGTGACAACAGGGCTGAACAGTTTACACGAACCCCTTTGGAGTAGGGGAATGCATGACAAAGACACAGCTAGGCCTTCCTCTTGCTTTGTTATTACTGTCAATTTTGGTCAGTACTAGGAAGAAATTACGGAGGGAAAAAAACCCTGCTTGCTAAATAATTGACTAAAATGATACCTCTTTTTTTACAGTTGTGACATCTGCTTAAAAAAACCCTTACGTACATGAGTAATATAGGACACTTTTGTGCAAAATTCCCTAGAATCAGCTAGTAATTGCATCTGAAATTTCTCTTCTTCACGAGGGAAGTCCCCACTGTACAAGGTTAGCTACTTATTACATATATCAAGGTCAATCAAGTTTCCTGCCTGTCAATTACATGTAAAATATGATAATATTAAATACTTCACGTCCCTTAAAAAGTAATTTCTTCCTCTATCTAGTCAACCTTCATTTCTTACAGGTAACTTTCATGTAAGTTTTCTGTGGGAATGCTCCTGGGATGTGGTACAAAGCAGAGGTGAGTGGTCCTGTGAAACAGGGCAGTACTGCTGCGCAGCAGTGAGAGCATGAGGCAAAAGTACTGAATCGGCTGTAGCACCCTACTCTCATCTGTTTCTGGAGTCACAGCACCTTTGATGTTATTTCCTTAGGGTGTTCTGAATTACCGAATGACTTCGAACCATCATGACTTCTGAACGACAGAACACCATCTACCCTACGCTTCAGCTAAGGTGATGAAGCAGCAAAGCCGCACGGCCATTAGCAAAGAAAGCCAAAATCCAGGTGTTCCTCTGCGCCCCTTGGTAGCACTTCTGTCACCTTCCTATCGTGAAGCAATTTTTCTGAACATCCCTGCTGGAAAGAAACGTTGCCTTGCACTGGGAGGCCAGGAGGGAACCCCAAAGCGGGGAAAAACAAAAGGTAAGACACCTTGACTCAATCTTCCCTAACCAGCTTTCTGTAGGTCTGTACTACGTGTGCAGAGCCAAATCCTGATCTGGGAATACCATGGGCTATAGAGTTCTTAATATAAATACCACTTTAAAATATCTCTACTTTGTTTTGTGGTTTAGATGCTTAAACAAGTAATCAGGAGACATCACCTTCAAAAGCACAGCACCACCTAGTGATGCACAGCAGCATGCTGCGGTGTAAAGAAGGTACTGTCTCCTGTATACACAGGGAAGAACTGTCATCATGGAATTGCTGAGGCTGGAAGGGACCTCTCCAGATTCTCTCCACCAAAAAAGCTTCTGATAAGTGAGATGGCCAGAATGCAAGTGATTGACAAGTGCTTCTGTCCTAAATTTTAGGTACTTGGAATTATTTAGAGTTTGCCATGGTTGTCTTTTCACCCTACATGAAATTATTTAAAGGGATGTTTCTCACCACTCCCTGGTTACAACTATCATACGGTAATTAATGCCTCCGAGCTAATGAGACTTCAAAGAAACATAGTGGCAATAAGAATACCTGATTAGATCTTTCAGTAGGCATCCGGTCATCTGAATTCCCCTTCTCTTTTCTTTGCTTCTCTTCTAGACATTTTGCTAGATGTTGACACATTTCTGCTGTGGATGCCAATTTGCGTTGAAGTTGGTGAGTTTCGTCAGTGAGTGAACGGCACAAAACATCACTGGTGGCCTGAGCCTTCTCCTTCTCTGCCAAGCTCTTCTGTAGTCGTAAGATTTCTCTCTCCTTTTCATATGGAGGCTGATTTATCATCTGCTGTATCTCTCCATTTTTCTCCTCCAGCTGCTGATTCAACTTCTGTACTTCCTAAACATAAAAGGGGGAGGGGAAGTTATTTAAAGTGAACTCAAAAGCCAAAATCTGTCTGAGACTGAATTCTGTACTGCAGTCATTCCATGCTGCTCCTATCCTCACTGCAAAGTACTTAAAAAGTAAAATAAATCAAATTCAGTTCTGTATAACCAGACCTTGGAACTGACAGATAATCAAAATTAAGACCTCCTCGGACAGTTATACAAGCACTTCCTAGTCAGCAGCATGAAGGAACCACCAGCAAAAATCCAGGAAGATTTTATGACAATATACAAAGCAGCAACAAACTGAAGATGGAACTTGTAAGGAACTAAGGACTTTAAAAGGAATAACTAAGGAGACTGAGAAATTCTTACTGGTCCTGCACTCTAGATTACCAGATAGTAGAGATTTTCCTCCAAAAATGGAACTGGAAAATCATCTTATCAAAAACAAGTGAAGCACGTATTCATTGCCAGGCACTGTCACAAGGACAAAGCAGAGGGAGCATACGCAGCAGCTTTCCCCCCTAGGAGAGGTTGAGTGGTAAGGACAAGCAAACAGAAAATTAAATCTGTGCAGCAGCAATGACTCTATTTTGCCCGTAGCTGAGTCCCTGAGCTATGTGACAGGGGGCTGACAGACTTGCAGGAAACAACTGTATCTTGTTGCTGCATGTTCTTGTTAAATGGGAAGCTCTGTGGGATCATCCACACTGGATTAAGCTAAGGTCTCCGCGGCTGTTCAGAGAAGGAAGAAGTTTGCTTGCTTGCTGGGGTGAACCCCTCTCTAGTACCGTGCACCTGAAGTACACCAGTCCTGGCTTTGTCAAGAACAGCTTGTGCTTGATATCCTCAAAGAGTAGCGGATGCTGGTAACAGCCACCTCTGCAGCACTGCTCCTCCAGAATCAGTGATGCCCTGGATGCCAGCATAGACCGGGAGGCTTGACTCTACCCTTCCAGTTCTTTGGGAGTGCTAACGGAGCTGTAAATCACAGGGAGCACTATTCTCTGCCAGCACGTAAGACCCCAACTTCACAAAATGCCTTTTTTGTTGTTGTTATCTTTAGTGACAATGGTTTCAGTGTTTCTGATGGGGCGTAAAATATTTCTAAAAAGAAAAAATATCTAACTCGCAGAAATAGCACTTGTTCCTATTGGAGACATTTAATTCTCCAGCATCATGCCACATTTCCTCTTTGCTCCAGATTAAAGACACTCAGCATCAGACTTCAAAACATGTTCAGATACCACAGGTTTGTCATCTGTCTGCAAAGTGTCAGGAAGATCATCTGATTACAAATTTCCAAACATGAACTTACTTGAATGTATTTTGGGTGAGTGTCATACATGGAAAATGTTTTGTATAAGCATTAGGTCAAGAGATCACTTATGACAAAAATACGTGTTTCAATTTTAAGTACTGCTGCTCGGTTTGGAAATTCCTTTCTGCAGCTTCATATAGAAAGAAATGCTTTAAAATTCTTTACTGAACCTGGGGAAGTCTTAATGACAGCAACAAAACCAGCACTTGCGGGACAGGAGGGGATGCAGTTTTGAGACTTTTTTTCTTTCCTCTCACAAGATAGGTATTTCCCTCACCTATCTCCTCGCAATCCAGGCTTGCCAGTTACTTCTCCCAGTATTAATGTCAATACAAAAATCCATTTTTAAGTGCACTTTTTCTATTAAAGTGGCTTTGTTTATATTTAAATGGTGGCATCAGTTGTTTATCTTACAGAACTAAACTGTTGGATCTGATAGATGAGAGTCTTCGGTAAGCAGTATGGAACTTCCAAATTTAGAGTTTTTGACTGTTTTTCCTTCCCCTTATGAAAACAGTTGCATGAAGATCTATAATGCCACCCTAAATTTTTGGGTTAGGATCTTACGGTTTCCCTTCCTGACCTTAAGGCAGTAGCAAGTACTGTTGGATACAGACAGCCGAGTTGCTCGGGGCACGGTCCAACTGCGGGCATAGGGCGGTAAAGCCAGCCCTGTCCAACGCCCCAGCGCTGCTCTGCAGGGGTCAAGACACTCGCCCTCCCGTCCGGGCTGTGCCACCCGGGCACGTCACCTGATTACCGGCAGCCCACGACCCCCGCGTCCTCCCTTCGCGGCAGCCCCCGCCGCCCCAGCCCTCCCCAGCTGGTGCTGCCTGCCCGCGCGGGACGTTCGCGGCT